GCCTGTCAGATGCATAACCGTACAGCAGTTATGGGAGTCAGCCATAACCGCTCCATTTTGCCTATAAATAGAAGTGCAAGGATCGAAAGAAGGCATCAGCAAATCAATCAACAACAAGCATTTCATTTCTTTAAGCTTTCTTCTTAGGTTTCGTAGTTTCCCTTGGCTTAGTAGCCAAGCGATAGTGTAGTTTATCACGTAGCATGTATTGAAGATCATTCGTCTTTTTCAATTGTATGATAATGGAGGTAACTTCTCCTTACAATTGTAGACCTGACTCTATCGTTTAATTAATGGATTGCATTTGCGTCTTTTGTCATATGTTTATCAATTCGTTTTTTTAGCAATCTAACTTGTTTTACTTCTTTTGGGAAAGCTTCCTTATTGTTTTGTTTAACGTTAGTAAGGTTATCAATCTTTGAAACCGGTAACTCAAGGGGCAGCCCCCTAATACTCTAGAACAACATAGAGTATTTAATTTGTTGGTAAAGAACAATATTTACCTCAACAAAGTAGTAGATGTTTTACTTTTCATCGTTGTTTGTTTTATGCCACCAGGTCTTTTAGCTCTTCCCCCAACCTCAGATGATGAATCAGGTTGTGATCTTTTACCGCTTCCCCCACTCTTCGATAGACGCTTATCCACCGGGTAACATATTCTTTTGATCTTTAGCCAATGAATTGAATGGTCCCATGTCGAGTATTTTGTAAAAGTTTCAAAATAATGAAAAAAAAACATCCTATCGTTAGGTGCTAATAATCCTTGTTCGCAAATTTCTCCAAGTTTTATTCTGATTCACCACTACCCTTCGTTCGACAATGATAGCCATATGCATCTACTCATTTATCAACATGTAAATTGATATGATCCCGTCTATTTTGCATAGATTAAATGTTTCTTACCTTGATCTCATTGGGTTTTTCTATTCTTGCCTTTTCGTAAAGGTTATAAATTTCAACCCATAATCCGCTTATCTTTGTCTTGGTTCCCCTCTTTGATACGTCGTTACAAGTGTGTTATCTTCAACTAAGGCCTATGATTGAATTTTCCTTTGCCCGGTAGTATTGATAACTTCTTCTTGAACAATTTTGAGATCAACATTTTCAATGTCTTCTAAATGTTGCGTCCCCACAAATTCTTCTGCATGTTCACCACCCCCTTATTGGCGTTGCATTGCTGCTACAAACTGTTCATGGAAATTGGACTATGTCCTAAGTGCAATGTTCAGACATGGAGAAAAACGAGGTATTACCAACATGTTGTTGAGATGATGAGCTATTTTAAGGAAAAAAGGGTTGAAATTGGAGCATGTTGTTGACATTTATACGTCTTAATTGACTATTGTAACATTATAAAGCAACCTGAAATTGAGGATTACTCAAAAGGTTTGGATCTAAAGGTGGATTATTTTGATTACATTGGAAGTGTGGATTATTTAAAAATTCATATTTCTCCCGTAATTTGAATTATTATGATCCGTGTTGAAGGGTAATTGAAAATGAAAGTATTATGGAGAAATTTATTTGTGTAGGAATGAGAATAGATTTTTTTGGCAAATAAGAGACTAATGAGAGCTAAAATTGAAAGTGTGTGAAAATATGGGATAATTATACTCATTTTATATAGAATAATATTTTATGACTGTTGGTGATATTATTTTTTAAAAAATATAATAATTGTTTGTTTAATATTACCGTTATAAATATTCTTGCTCTTAAAAATAAGCTAACAAATTGAAAGAGGACTCTTGTCCTAATTTGCCGTTGCCTTTCCAATACTCCTCCAAATGTTGGTGACAACCATGCTACTTTTTTTTCTCTTTTTTTTTTTAAAAAAAAAAAAACAAAACCGAAATGTTAGTTAAATTGCGCGCAAGCTGAGGAGTTCTTTCCTCTTCACCAAGAGGAATACCGCCACTCACCCACTCCTTTTGCTAAAAGGCCCTTTTAACATGCTCAACATCAATAAGGATTTTTTAAGAACTGAAATAGGATGGCTAAAAGAAGAGAAGTCATCTCCATTGTTGATGCTCTTAGTCCTGATCAAAGAAGACTTGTCTAAGTGTTGTTTACCTTTCTATTTTTGGAATTGTGAAATAGGGTATATTTCGTCATCTTATTTTACTGAGTAACTTATTTTGACTTAATTATTGCATATGAAGTTTTATATACCGCCCCAGTGTTATCGACTTTTTCAAGTTGTGTCAATTGTTTTTCCATATTATATATGGTACCCTCCAAGTATAGCTTATTAACGCATAATGTCCTTACCAGCCGTTAACTTGATGTGAAGAACGTAGTTCCATTAGTTTTTTGTATTTTGTTAAAATTCAACTGTGCTTGTTTATCAATGACTCGTTTAATTTTAATCTAACTTGGCTTGAGCTGAGATCAAATTAAAATGAGTTACTCTTGAGCCAAACTCGAACAACAAATGAGCCAAGCTCAAACAAGCAAATTGAAAGCTTAGTGAAGCTTGGTTTGAGCTTTGAGCTCATGAATTTCTTATTAAACTCAGCTCGAACAGACTAATCTTGTCTCGACTTTGCTAGCCTTAAGTATATCAAATCAATTGTACTTATATATAAAAATCAGATTTACTAAGAAATTCCTTACTTTTGTAAGTTTTTCAAAACATATAAAACTGTGAAATGTCTAAGAATATTTTATTACTTTTTATTCATAACCTATTTAAGGTGATAAAATAAAAAATAAAAAAAATTACATATAAAAAAGGTCATTATTACACTTATATACTTAGTATATTTCAACTTCCGTATTTTATTTTTATTTTTATTTATTTTTTAATTTTTTTAAGGCTAAAATTCTACACTATATATTAACTTTTGGTGTTGGGACAAATGTTAAGAAATATAAACCTGTCCATTAAATTATGGCAAAATTAAAGATTACTATGTCTTTATTTTAAATTTTTTGTTCTCTTATTTGTCTAAATATGACAGAACTTGAGATTAGTTTAGTAAATTAAAGTTTTCATTTCAATTTAGTGAGCCAATTATAAAATAATTTTGGTATTTTTGTAATTTGCATGATACGTAATTAAATTAACATTGAAGTAAGCCTTATGGCCTTATAGGATATCATGTTAGTCATGTACTCATGTATATTCATTTTAATATGTATCGAGAGATGATATTTTACTTTATGGAGAAACATAAAATAAAAGTATAATAGCTAAAAACAAAATAAAATTCCATCTTAAAATCAATTGACAATAAAAGTAGTTAACGTGAGTTATAAATCAAAGACCATTTTCTTAATCTTAAGACACATTACAATGAAATGAGCGTTTAATTCTACATTTCATTGGAATGTTTTAATCACAAGGTAAGTAAAATATTTAAAGTGAATCCTAATTAAAAAAAAATTAAAAAAAAAAATTGTCATGTCTTATTATTTATCTTATTTTGATCAAACATCCCCTATTCCCTTGGTACTAGTTTTTTGAACAGGGATTTCATTAATAAAATATAGCCAAACGACACTTACATACATTTCCTAAGAAATCGAGAATGTCAACACAAGTACACACCTTAAAACTAAATACATCGTAGATTTGATTAACAATTGCTTTAATAAAAAATTTCATCTGAAACAATACAATTTGTGAGTTCGCACTGATTCGGCTTGAAATCCATTGATGCGTAGTTGTTTGAGTGAAAATACTCATGTGTTCCTCCGCATTCTTGTAAAGATTATAAAACCTTAGATCTTCAATTTTCGCCATACAAACATAAAAAGAAAATAAACTCAAGAGAAAAAGCATCATTTCAAGTAGGGATGTCAGTGGGGCGGGTCAAATAGGAGACCCGCTCCATCCCCGCCCCAACGGGGCGGGGACGGGTCTTGGTTTGGCGGGTGATGGGGCGGGAATGGGGATAAAAACCATACCCGCCATGGGTGATGGGGCGGGGGTGGATTTTAGATAGTACCCGCCCCGCCCCACCTGCCCCACTTCGTACCCACCCCATCCCCACCTACCCCACTTCGTACCCGCCCCATCCCCACATCCATAATTTTTAAAAACAAAATTATATACTTTTATACTATTTTATAATAAAAAATTATGTAAAATAAAATAGTAAATATAATACTTTGTAATACACTTATATTATAAACAAAAAAATGTGTAATATTAACAATATTTTTTTTTCTTTTTGCAATCTTTATTAATTATGAAGGATTGTGTATTTGGGAGGTGAGGATTAGGTGGGGGTGGATATCCAAGTGGGGGTTGGGGTGGGAATGGTTTTGGAATTGTACCCGCCAGAGCGGAAATGGGGATGAATTTTAGACCCACTGCGGGGTTGGGGATGAAAATTTTAGGTGGGGATGGGAAGGCCAACATCCACCCCGCCCCGCCCCATTAACATCCCTAATTTCAAGGATGAGATCTATTTATTGAAAGCAATTAAAAGGTTTTTGGGGCTTACCACTGGTAAGAATATCAGTGGAAACCCCTACAAAGATTCACAACTGAGACCAAGAGGAAAGAGATGAAGAGAAAAGGTAGAAGAGAGAAGGAAAACCTTCAAAAAAAATTGAAAAAACCTAGTAATGGAGGCTAGAAAAGTCTTCCCAAGGGAGAAACCCTAAAAGGAACAAAAAAAACCCTGTCAAAGAGAAAACCTGGAGGGAACCGGATGTAATAGCGGATTTCCCATGGTACTAGTTCACTACCACCTTTTCTTTCCACGATTTCATTTTCCTTTTCCTTTTTATTTATTTATTTTATGTAGTATAGTATTTTATACTATCTCCGTTAAATATTAGTTGTAACTTTGGATATTTTAAATCTCACAAATATTACCCAAAATTGCAACTAATTTTTAATGTAGGTAGTATAATTTTTCTTTTTAATTTCAACCCTACTCCCCCCACATTACCATAAAATAAGGAATGAGATAATTTTAATAATAAAATAAAATAAAATAAAAAATATGATAAAATAAAATAAAATTTCCCCCTTAAAATATAAGAAAGGAGGAATGTGCTGTTCTCTTGAATGAGCAACAACAGTTTAGTTTCCAGCAAAAATATAAAATTTGTCGCTGGTTCAGTTGTTCTTTCTCAAACTCAGGCTGTTCTCTGTTGTATATTGCGCGCTTTCTTCATCTTCTCTAATCCCTGTAATTTCTCTATTTATCTCTCACTTTTTTTTTTTCATTCTCAGTTTTAATTACTGTATTTTGCTTCATTTTCTAATTTTCTCTTTTTTAATCATAGTTTAATTGCTGATTGTTTTGTTTAATTCTAGGGTGACGAATTTTTTTTTTCTCTCTCTCTCTCTCTCTCTCTTTTCTGGGGTTTTCTGGTTATTAGTGTAATGGGTTCTTGTATAGTTGAGTATTTGGTGCAATTTTATCTTACCTTCTTCAAACCCTCCATGTAAAAATGAGGTTACTTTATTTTTGGGTGTTTTCTGGATTTTCTGATTAGTTTTTTCTTAATTCAGCAAAATGCAGATTAATATTTTTGAATATTATTTATGTTGATCAGTTCCGCCCTTTTTGTTGCATATTTTTCTGGGTTTGGCTTCTCTTCTCCTTTTTTTTTTTTTTTTTTTTTTTTTTTTTTTTTTTTTTTTTTTTTTTTAATTCAGGCTTCATTATGTTCTTAATGTCAAATTATATTGTAATAATATTCTTATGATAATTATTATCATTATTTTTTAATTTTACAGTAAGATGGGTTCAATTGCTACATTCAGTTCATTGATTATCTTGTGCTAACCAATGAATCTGCCTTACCTTTGGAGGAATGTTATCATTGTGGAACTAAGGCTTTGTTGTTGTTGTTGTTATACACACCCTCTATAGTGTTTCATATGTGGGAATAGTTTTTGTTTTTATTTTATCTTCTTCAATTGGACTGCGCTGAGTTTTGTGGTTAAATACATCCTGTTATATCTATTTCCTAGTTTTTGTGCATAAGCATGCAATTCATGATTCAACTTTGGTTATACCAAAATTGATGTGAAAGCGTAATGAAGAATTTGCTGAAGTTAATAGAGGCTTGAAATAGTTAAATGTATTGACCTGGATGAGTTTGAGTCCTTAATTATAATTTGTTGTTCCATGTGAACAGTGCTAGGACTAGTAGTATATATTGGAGTATAGGCAAGCCCTCATAGGTGGTAAGCCTTTCGGAAATTTGGAATCGCATTGTTTCTAAACAGGATGTTGGAATTTTGCAATTTTGTTTAGAGTGGGCTTATTGGGAGATTGGATTAGGAAATTAATTTATACTGTGAAGACTAAATAAAATGCTTTTCTAGAGAAATGATTTCTCCTCTTGTAAGGTTCCTTAGCATAAAGATTTACGTCTTCATTCACATTTGAAATGCTGATCTTGGTTGAGAAGACATTTTGCTTGCATGGACCATGTGAGAAATGGAATCTGATCGTCTAGTGCTCAGCTTGAGCCCCAAGAATTTGTTGTTCCTAATCCCACCCATGACATCAGATGTCACATTTAGTTCTATACTACTTCGTATTATATTTACATTCATTATGTGGCCTCAATCCTCTTACGAAGTTCATGTTATACCTATTAGCAAAAGTACGCGTGAAACTAATTCTATTATACACCCATCCCTTCTTAAGTTTGTTGTCTGTTGAAGACTGGTTTCGTAATTTTTCTTGGTGCTTGTTGCCTTTCGTTTTCCTGTTCGGACAGTTCTTTAGGGTGATTCATGTTGTCCGACCCCAAATCATTTTGGGACTAAGGCTTTGTTGCTGTTGTTGCTTGTTGCTTTGTCATTTGCTTACTTTGTTCATTGTATCTGAATCAGCTGACATATTAAATGAATATGAGCTTCATTTCTCTTTCTAATCTACAGGATGGGTACTGGGAAAAAACCACAAGTGTCTCCTAGAAATTTTAAACCTGCTTTGTTAGGCGGTGTCATATTTGGTTGCACAGATTCGACGATCAATGAATGTCTTACTAAGCAGCTCTTTGGTGGGTTATTTTTCACTGCAGATCTATATTTTGAGAAATTGTACTTTATAAAGGCTCTTAGCTTGCACGAACTTTCATTGCCCATGTGTGTAGGCGATCATACATTACTACTTTCTGCCTTACTTAATTTCTTGTTTCATTCTCTTAAAAAAATAAATAATAATATAACATCATGGGACACTTGTGGTGCTTCAAGTAATCTATTTTTTCGTGTGTTTTTCAGAGTCTATTTGACACTTTTATATGTTTCCTGAGCGTTTACTTAGGTCATTTAGCACATAGATTTGATTCTTTACCCCAAAATTTTCTTTTCCTTGACAGGTTTGCCTGCTCAGCATTTTGTGTATGTCAAGAATATTCATCCAGGTTTGCCCTTGTTTCTGTTCAACTACAGTAAAAGGCAACTTCATGGTATCTTTGAGGCTGCTAGCCCTGGTCAAATGAATATAAATCCATATGGTTGGACAAAAGATGGTTCGGAGAGAACAATGTTCCCTGCTCAGGTATTACAAGCTTGCTTGCAGCCATTCTCTATCTAGAGATAGTGAGATGTGAGACTGTCAGACGAAGTTTTTTAACCTTTAACTTCACCCTCTACGTAATTATTGTGTGTGTGTGTGTTTTTTTTTTTTTTAATATATATATAGGTCCAAATATGTATCAAAAAGAATTGCCGTCCCCTGGTGGAGAATCAATTTATGTCAATCATTAAGGGGAATTATTATAGCCACTCCCATTTCCGATTTGAGCTAGACCATGTTCAAGTCAGCAAGTTAATTGTTCTGTTTTCAACCCAAGTGGTTGCATCATCTGCCACAATTCCCAAATCAATAGGAAACTGGCAGATAGTACATCAAAATCCATCAGAACCAAGAACTATTGGAAATGTTGATCCTACTCCTTGCAGTGAGTCAAATGGCCATTCAGGTCTCTCAGGTCCTTCATGCCTTGACGAAATGCCCCAGCAAATAGGAGCTGATATTGAGGCAACGGAAAAGAATGAAACAGAGCTGATATATGTGAAATTGCAAAAGTTGGCTGCGAATTGCGAACCTTTAGACTCCTGCCCCACAAGCGAAGTTCAGGAGTTTGGAAATAACAACAAGATGCATGATGAGTATGATGGTTCACTAGAAGGCAATAGGGCTCAAGAGGAGAATCTGAAGGAGAACTCTTTATTACCCTCAGATTTACAGTCTATCATAGCTGAGGTTATTTAAGATTCAATCATTGAAATAATTATAAACAATTTTTAAGATAAGTCTGCATAGATTGATTTTCTTATGTGTAGTTACAAGAGCTGAAGGCTTTCAAGCAAGAAGCTATCGATAACCAAAAGAAGCTGGTAATCGCTTTCTGTTCAGCTCTTTTTTTTTTCTTTTCTTTTTTTACATTGTCTATTTGTCTTTGTCCCTAAATTCTGTGATCTTAATTGTGGATGGCTTATTTATACCTAGTCCCTCACACTCCCTCCCTGATCTTATTTGTGGAGGCGTTATTTATTTCTAGTCCCTCACACTTCCCCTTTAAACTATGTTTTGGAAATTTGGTGTATATGGTTTGTATGATCTGTTAAGTAATTTGACAATGTACTTGTGGACTAATTTAACAAACTCTGTAGGGAGTTATGATCTTATCATAGTTTCTTAGAAGATAATCTGATCATTATTGATGAGAGAAGAGTATACTTTCACCTGTAAACTAGTGCAGCTTTTGTTATATATTTCCTTACTAGTCTTTTTAGCCATTTATACAATTTTTGTAAGTTAATGCCTATTAGATGGCTTAAGAATCGTGCGTTTTGCACAGATCTACCCCTCTTTCTGTAAGTCTCTCCCATTTCTTTTTTTAATGGTAATCTTGTTCTCACAGCTTTCAAAAGTCCAGCAATTACAAGATCGTTGTACAAGGCTAGAGGCCTTGTCTAACCAGTCAGAGACATATGCACATGGAACAATGGAGTTTAGCAGTGAGCAGCTTCTGGATCCAAATGATTCGATTTTTCTAGTAGGTGGTTTTGATGGGGAATCATGGCTAGCATCACTTGACTCCTACTCTCCATCAAAAGATATAATTAAATCTCTTAGACCAATGAGCTCTGTTCGTTCACATGCCTCTCTTGCAATGTTGAATGGTGATCTTTTTGTAATTGGTGGTGGAAATTCTGGTTTATGGTATAATACAGGTATTAAGGTATTTTATGCTCTCCTTTTGTGTTTTCCATGCAACACTCCTATTAATATATCACTTTGTTTGGTTGAAGTTGAATCCTACAATCCTGTAAACAATGATTGGACATCACTTCCTTGTTTGAACAAGCAAAAGGGGGGCTTAGCTGCAACTACGTTGTATGACAAAATATTCGCAATTGGTGGCGGAAATGGTATTCACTGCTTTTCTGATGTGGAGATGTTTGATATAGATGTTGGACGATGGATATCTGCTAGATCAATGCTGCATAAGGTGAACTTGCTACTTGTCCCTTTATTTAGTATTGTAGATCCTGATCTATTTGATTGTGAATTAGACTGAAGGAAATTGTTTTAGTTGTTACCTGCGGAATGCTTATAACTAGGGTGAAAGGTCTGGAACTCGTGCAACTAGCATCCTATTTGTGCTGAAACATGTGCTTTCAGATGAAACTGTGAAGTGTGTGAGAGTCTTCCTGCAGTTCACTCTGTGCATGTGCGTCGCTGGGTGGGGGTGAAAGAGTTTTAATTGGCAAATTGACCAGTAAATTAATGTTAGTATGTTACTCGCATTCAACTCATTAGCCAGTTGTCACCAATTCAACTTCATGTGCTATATACAATATGATTTAAGTGACCTAAGATTTCATAATATTTACTTTAATTTCCCGTATATGAATCTGTTATTTGAAAAACTTAAATTTTAAGGTGAAAAAGAACAGTACCTAAAAAGTGAGTCAGTGGTTGCTGTCATAGTGACATTTGCATCTGAGCTTCAACCATAATGCTTACTTCAAACTGTTGTACAGTTATTAAAAACTTAATGTTTGATTCATTCCATCATTGTTATGAGAATTTTGTCAATAAATCTTTTGTAGAGATTTGACCTTGCAGCAGCGGACCTTCATGGTGCCATTTACGCTGTTGGTGGCTATGATGGTAGCGAGTATTTGAGGTATTGTACCTACCACGCCTCTTTATTATGTTTCTCATATGCGTGCATTAGTCTTGGGCATATACTTGCAGAATCTATTATGTCCTTGCTCGGGAAAACTTGCCTGGATTTTTTTCCCTTATGATTCAAACTGTTCAAGAACATATTTGTCATGTGGAACTTCTGCACCCCCCCCCCCCCTCTTCAAGGGAGTTTGAGAAAGATACTCTTGACTTTTTGGATTAGAAGTACATTGAGATGCATTAAGTGATAACTAGATTAAGGTTTTTTAACCTTTAATTTGTGCTTATATTAGTAGTCAGCAAAATCAACATCACCCAATCGAAGAGGCCCCCACTCAAGGTGAGATAAGGTGGATTGGATGTATAAAGCGTCACCATTGCAATAACAGGGAGGCAATTTTATTAGGTCTTTGATCCGAATAAACACCAATTGCCTAATATTACACTATAATTATAAGATGTGTGAGTGGAGAACTTTATGACCTGTTTTTGGTTGTCCATTATGGTCCTAAGTGAAGTATATTGAATCCTTTTGTTCCATTGTACATAGTACATGATTGCTTAAGTTGATCTGTCTGCCAGAAGACTTGCCTTATCCATAAACATTTATATTCAAATATATATCCTCAAAGATATGTCTAGCCAATGCCTAAGGACCTTAATTAGTGAATTTAAATTGAAGGGGCAATCAAAGTCACTCTGTGTAATGTGTCTAGCTAGTAGTTATTTCTTCAGAGGAAATAAGATTGATAGAAGAAGCAGTCTCACTTTATTTTGCCTGCATGTAACACTCCTTGTGGCCTAGAAGAAATTATGTAACGTAAATTTGTTTTTGGCTCAATTTCAAAGACCTTATCACTTAAAATCCCTTTGCCCCAAGCAATTTTGGATGTACTGAGGACAGACATATCTCCCAAAGCTTCCCTTTGTTTACCATCACTTCTGCTAAAACCTCTTTAATTCAAAAGTTTTGTTTACTTTTGTACCATTTCACTCTATGAAATGCTAATGCCTTCAAATTTGAGCTGGAAGCAGTATGTTTCATCATGCAAAATCTTTTTAACTTAATTCAGGAGGTGGAGAGAAGTATGTCAGGGATTAGAGGTGCACTTTCTCTTTGATAGAAGGGGTATAATGTCATGAGCTTTCAGTCCCCTTATAGCTTATATTGATTATGAAATTAGAGAGAAAGAGTAAGAAATCAAATTTTTTTTTTTTATTTTTTTATTTTTTTTTTTTGTTTTGTATTGGGAGGAGAAGGGAACATTTTGAAAAAAATTTGTTTTATCCAAACACCGTGTGAACATTCAACAACCATGACACCCCCCCCCCCTCTCCTCCCCCTTTATCTCCATATTGGGCATGTTTTGTCTCCCCTTTCTTTTTTTTTTTTAGTTTTTAATTTTTGAAGACCTTCACATCTTGGCTAATGTGGTAAGTTCTAGAAATGTTATTTGGCCTTTTTATTGGGGAGGTACTATTATGTTGCTATGTTACCTGTTGCAAATTATGGAGCATAAAGCCGTGGCAGGTCTGGGTGGTATAAAGGCATGACTATTTCTGATCTTAATTGACACAGAACAGAGAGAAGGAATAAAAATTTAAGAGGGGGCGTGAAAATGAGAGTAAAGGGGAGTTTACAGGAGGCTATGTGGACAACAATTTCTTGGTATATGGTTTTTTTTTTATTCTTTTTTTTTTTTGGGGGGGGGGGGGGCGGGCGGGGGAGGGAGGGGTAGAGTGAGGCGAGAGCTCTTACCAATATGGTATCTAAGGGGGAGGGATGAGAAGGTTGAGTTTGACAAAGAAATGCTGAGGAAAGGGTGGGGAGTAAAAAGAATTTTATGTATAGTTAAACAAGCAACATGATGGTAAATGCTGTTTCTGATATACTCCTATTCATGTTAAGTGTTTGTTCTTAATATTATTTATTTCCCACGCTTTCTAATGTTTAACTTTGCATTCTTTGTGCACCTGTCCTACTTTTCCTTTACTTATTCTGTTTTCGTACTTCTTAGCTAATTCTATGCTTCTATTGTCAGTTCTGCCGAACGATTTGACCCAAGAGATCATTCTTGGAGCAGACTTGGAAGCATGAACTCAAGAAGGGCCTGTCATTCATTGATTGTACTGAATGAAAAACTGTAAGGAGAATATGTTTGGTTTTTTTTTTTTTTTTGATTAATTTATTTATTAATGTACCTTAATCTTTTAATATTATATTTAAAGTATGAATTTGCTTTTCCAACTAGCCGCCTTTCAAAATGTTTTGTAATTATACACTTTGCAGATGTTTCTGGAAACTAGCAGTAATAACTTGGAGTACAATAATGCATACATAATATTCTGTTTTACTCCCTTTGTTCCCATTTAATTGACACATTGAAATGGGCACAGAGTTTAAGAAATACTAGCTTAGTGTCACGGGTCATCTCCCTTGCCAATCATGGGCGTCATTTGGGTCACTAGGCAATAGGGCATAGCCCTTGGTGAGCACTTCCCCCTATAGAGCTTTATTTAGCCCAAGTTGTGTAATCCTAGTGAACACCCAAGTGACAGTAACACAATAATGGGCCATCTGGGGGCCCAAACGAAGTCCAAATGGGCTCAAACTTTGGGGTCCACCGTATTTTGGGCCAAGGAAGACCATGGTGGTGTCGGTTTTCCGAGATGAGGTCCCGAAATACAAGTTTTGGCAGCAGGTAGTCCGGAAAACGTGAGATGCTTCTAGAAGGTTCCGGGCTTCACCAAAGGGTTCTTTTGAAGGAGTATTCTAGAGGGGATGTCTCTAGAATATTCAAGGGTCATCTTGTACATAGTAGGAGTTTCTAGTATCTTCTATGTATGTACATAAGTAATGTACGATCTAGAATGTTCTAGGGTGGTCTTGGGCATTCGAAACTTAGGAAGTGTGTAGAACCTCCTTGTATGTATGTTCCTTTGGAGGTGGGAACTCTCTAAATTGTTGTAGTCTAGAACCCTCCATTTGAGGAGGTTAGGAATTTTCTAGAGAAGCTTGTAAGTAGGATGGAGCACTATAAATAGGCTCCAAGGATCATTTGTACATTCAAGTTGAGAGATCAACAAGTTAAGAGCTATAAGTTGAGAGCAATACAAAAAACACTTGTGTTCTCTTGCAACTCAATCTCTTTCCTTCAGACAATCAGAGAGTGTGAGGAAAACTAAGGCACGAGGGTGCCAAGTGAGTGTTCGGGCATACGAGCAAGGGTGACAGCTTGTGTGCTCAATTGTTTACGACACTTAGTCGTAAATTCGGACTAAGGCACTAAAGGTGAGTGCTTAGTTCAACCAAGGGGTCTTGTTAGCACCAAGGGGACGTGCTAGCAAATATATTTTAGCAGAGGGTTGTGCTACGTGGGCACAAAGAATAGTGCCAAGGGAGAAAGCTAAACTTGTCTTACGACGGACTGTAAGCAAGTGGCGCACGGTGCGTGACTAGGGCAAAGTAGTCAGCACGTGACATTAGGCCCCGTGCATGGTAAGTCTAATTTTTTGTAAGAAAAAAATTAATAATTATATCTAACAAATAAAAGTGATGCTTTAAAGTAATTTCTTTAAAATCAATAATATAAATCAATTTTATTACAAAGTATTACTTTTTTGGCAAAATCTAACATCTCACTGTTTATCAGATAATTAAAAAGGAGTTGGAAAAATCATATATATATATATATATATATATATATATAAATATATATAAATATATATAAATATATATATATATATATATATATATATATATATATATATATATATATATATATATATATATATATATATAAGGGAGTTTTTTCTCAAGTTTTTAGAGAGTCATGCAGGATTAAATTTTCTTAACGCACCATGTAAGATTATACATTTTAGTTAAAGCCAATTAAATAAGAGATTTATAATTTCTTTTAGAATAAAATAATTCAAATGCCACATAAGCAAAATTGGCGAATGAGATTTTAAAGTTTAAATTAATTAAATATAAAATATTATCTTTTGAGATTAGGAATTTTATTAAAATATATAATGAATGAGAGGAAATTCACAATTTATTTTAAATACTACGTACAACGAATAAAATATCAAATTTTATCACATAAATACAAAAATTATTTGTTTCAAGAAAGATAAACAAACCGTGCATCACACAGGCTTTACCTAGTATTTTAAAGTAAATGTGTATGGAAGAATTATGAACACCAAATAAAAAGGAATATTTTTGTCATAAAGATAATATAAAAGATTTGGAGTCAAATTATTATAGTTGTATCAAATATTCATTAAAAAAAAGTTATTAAAAAGGGAAGGAGAGTTTTGAAGGGAAAAAACAGCACCAGGATGTGACATGTGTTACTTCCGGTGTTTGTTTTAGTATTTAGTTATTGATTTGAGTGGGGTAGTTTTATTGAATTGTTTATTGTAAAGTGAATTTAATGGAATATTATTTTATTCATAGAAAATTAGAAATAGTGCATGGCCATTGTAAAGTGAAGTTTGTGGAATGTTTGAGTGGGGTGGGGATTATTTTAATATAAACCTTAAAAGCGGTGGGTCATTGTGTAAGATAGGAAAACAATCAAATATTAGTGGGTCCTTGCCATTTTTAGTAACTTGTCAATTATTCATGAACGACCAAAAGAGGAAAGTGAGTCAATTTATTTAGGAATGGAGGGAGTATACTGGATCTTAAGCACATTAACATTTGAAGCAAGGTACCAATGTACTCTCATGTAGAGCTTATGGGTACTCGTGTTTGCAAGAATGTAAGATGACATATATCTCATGAGAGAGATGTACTTATATGAGCATAATATGCGGTAGTATGAAGAGAAGGTGTGGGCGTGTTGCTCATAGACCTTGAAATAGTAAATCAAGGTTATTTTTCCTTCCAGTTTAGTTGCCCCCCCCCCCACCCCCCTCTCTTGTTTTTTTTTTTTCCTTTTTTGGAGGGAAGTAACTAATATACAAAGCATTTTTTTCTCTTATACGGAGTACTAAAGCAATAACCACTCTTTCATTTTTTTTTCCCTTTCAAAATTCCCGACCAAATCAACCAATATAAATGATGGCATGAAAAATGTAAGAAAACAGTTATTGAGTGAGGAGTATAAGATAGTAAATGTGCTTTGAAAACAAAGATATCTTTGTTTTCAAGGCATATATATATATATATATATATATATATATATATATATATATATATATAGTAATCTGTATTTATTTTATAATAAGTAAAACCCAATCTTTAATTAATTTCATTTAAAAAAAGATCTTTTATATATTCAGTATAATTTGAAAAACCGATTGCTCGGGGATTATCTAGTACTCTCTCCGTCCAAAATTAGTTGACTCTTTTTTTTTTTTTAACTTTTGAAACTATTCACAAACTCTAGTTTGATTAGCTTTTGTAATTTATAGATAAGAAAAAACTTAGTCATGTAAGATCTTGTTATATTCCTCTCAATATGTATATTTAAACTATGAACTTTTTTTAGTTATTGATAATTAGAAATATTAGTTCAAAAAAAAAAAAAAAAAATAGAAATATCAAATTTGGTGATGATTGGTAAGCTATATGCTATAACTGGATGCCTATTGCCCTACACAATGAGATTGTGATAGAGATAACACTTTTTATTAAACTCTGCAGTAAAGATTAAAATGCAAGGAACTCTTTTCACAGGTATGCTATTGGTGGTTTCGATGGAAGAACTATGGTAGCCAGTGTTGAAGTATTTGACCCTCGTCAAGGGACCTGGATGAGTGAGGCACCAATGAACCACTCAAGGGGATATTCAGCAGCTGTTGTATTGAATGATAGGATATATGCATTTGGGGGAATGGGAGGAAATGAGAATGTTCTGGATAAGGTGCATTCCTTTCTCTTTCTTCCTCGTTCTGCAATATCAATTACTAATAGTTCCCCTGTAATGAGTTTTGTTTCTTGCTGGAATTGTGGTCAAGCTTTCACTTCTTTTACCTCTACTTGCATTAGGCTTTCTGTATTAGGTTGTTCTGTACTTGTATATGATTTCTCATGAAATGTGATAACAGGTCGAGCGATACCAGGAAGGTCTTAGTTGGCAAGTGACAAACCTCAAGGCTGTGGGGAAAAGGTGCTTTGCTCCAGCTGTAGTCGTACAGCTTGCACATTGAAAGGGCTAGGAGATGTGAAAGCTAGAATTTCAGAGGGGCTGGTTCATTAAAGCTTACTGTAATTTTGTTTACAGGAGGTACAGCATAAGTGTTAATCCACTTTTGTACAGATTTTCTTGCAGAATAGAGAAACGAAATCCAGCAATTCTCTCTGGTCTCCGCTATGTTTTTGTGAATTGGAGCTACATATGATTAATATGAATCTTCATACACGTATAGGGGCAGATACATATGAATCAATACAGCCAAATATGGTAGGCTGATGTTCATTAGTGTTTTTTTTATATATATACAACTCGGTCAGCCAACAATGGTTCATTATTATCCATTGTCTCGTGTGCTGTTGACAGTCATAGGGCAGCCAGGCAGGCATTGTTGGCCAGGAAATAGGTCTCGGGTATATGACGCAGAGAGTAAACCAGAATGGCAGGGAGGGGGGGAGGGGGGGGGGTGAAATCATATGTTGCCACACGTTTAGATTGAGCGAAATTCTTTCAAAAAAAAAAAAAATATTGTGCATAATACTGTACTCCGAAATTCGGTAATGGGAAAGGAGAATGGAGGTTAAAGAACATAAATGGGAATATTAAAGCAGGAAGGTTATTCTTTTCATTTGATTTTTCAGGTATTGGGTAATTAACAATGTGTATGAGACAAGTTGGGGGGCCTTGGGGCAATAACTTGCAAGTTACTACTTTTTGACCCGAGATATGATTTTAAGTAGGAAAATTTTCACTTTGATGTCCTGAGGTTAGACACAATTCCATTTTGATACCTTGTAATATTAATAATTCCACCCTTAAGGGCATGCTTGGATTGAGGAAGATGTATTATTAGGGTAATAAAGTCAAACTAAGTAAAATGAAAGTGAATGTAGGGAAGGAGGAGATAGTGATGGTGTGATTATAAGGAAAATTATGTAGTGATGGTCTAGTATGAGATGAAGAAAGAGGAACTAATATTCTCATTTTAGGGGTAATAATTACACTAGAGGGAGGGTGGGTAACTATTTTCCTCATTATGAAGATAATAATTCCTCCATCTCTCTCTTTTCCTCATGGCACAACCATCTTTCTCATTTGTAAACACCTTGTCTTCTACAACAACACTTTCTAATTACTTATGTTTTTTCAAGTTTGACTTTTATTACCCCTTAATATATTACCTCCAATCCAAGCATGCCCCAAGGTGTTTTATTTTATTTTATTTATTTATTTATTTATTTTTAACAGGAGGTTTAATTTTTTTTTCATGTAGTGCTCTGTGCCTTTGTAATTTCATTTTAATGCCTCGAACTTTGACTTAGTCTTTCACTTTAGTACCTGTGGTTTAAGAATATCTCCGTTGCTAAATAAAAAAAATTACACAAATTCATTATATATACATAAGTCTAGGATAATTATTTAAGATTTATCATGAATTTTTTTTTCCCCAATTTTTAAGGAAGCATTTAGTTTTAAATGGAAACTAGACTTTTAGTCACTTTGATTAGGGATACCTAAAGCATCCTTACGGATGATAAGAGAGGAGGAAGGTGTAAAATTGTTAAAAGACCAAATGTGTAATGAATGTAGTTCATCGCCGTATTTGTCTCCCTATAGCAAGGTTGTATTATGGAGCAAGATTAGTCTCCTTCTATTTTCATATTTGATTACTCTTAGGTAGCACCGCCTTTTAAGCCTTTCTCTTAGACCCGTTGCTTCCCCTTGAGAATTAAAGTGTTTAGAGATTAAGATCCCCACTATGATTTCTAATTACAAATCCAAAAACAGAGCTATTTTCACCTATTTTGAACCAAAGTTTAACTAGTGTTGTCCAAAAAAAAAGTTCAATTGGTGGAAATTTCTTGCAAAGGAACCAAGCCGTTTGAATTGTATCTTGGCACTTTTGGTTTACTTGAAGATTTGAAATATCCATTGGGGTTATTCGAAAATTTCTAACAAATATTCCAATCAAATTTTTAACATTTGAAGGGAGATTAGTTCTCCATATCCATTTAGATGAGACTTTTGCATTAAATGATGGGTCTTGATTAAGAGCTTAATAAGTTGCGGATTTGGTCATAAAATTGCCACTAGAAGTGCAAAATAGCTTATATTTTAATCTATTCGACAGGATATGAATGTTGCAAATGACTAACTATATTAGGGAGACGTATTGTTTTAATTTTAATGTATTATACTGTTGTGGGATTACAATTTATTCACATTTATAGTATGCATTAATAATTTGTGGGATATTAGAAGAAAGGTGAATTGATTAAAAGTGAAAATAATTAACATAGTATGCATTAAGAAGCAAGGAAGCAACATTAAGAACAAAAAGAAACGAAGGGAGAAGCAATTTAACGTAACAAAAGATGATCAGCATTCAAATTTACAAAATAAGCTTCAATTTCCAGGCTAATGTAAGTCAGGGCATGTTTAGGGCCCCCATGACCTCTAACCAAATGCAAATCCTCAGACATACATTCCATACCCATACTAACCCTCAATGTGTAAGCAACTGTTTTTGGTGTTCTGTAAAATGGTGCGGTGAACTTGAACTTCTTGACCTCATCAAGACCTCCATATTCTTCCATGTCTAAGAAAACAAACTCTGATACCTTGTCATCTAAGACAATCTTAAGCCATAGCTTATGCTCATTAGTCACGTTATAGAGAGTTATGTCCAGGGGTATACCGACAGGCAATCCTGAGATGAAGCGCAAAGGACTTACTGAGTCAAAGCCAAGAACAACAAGCTCTGCACTAATGTGTCTGATTTCTTCAGTGAGTATCACGTCCTTGAGTATAAATAAGTCACGCAGTTTTTTCAACTGACATTGATCGCCAGTTGCATCAAGAGAGAAACTGCCATTGGACAATAGTTCTGCAAGTAGGTTCACAAAGTCCGAACATGCAATGGATTTTGCATCCCGTAAGTGGCACACCGAAGCAACCATAGTAGATAATTTCTGTAAGGTTTTGCAATGCATGTGAGAGCTTGAAAGTTGCAGCAGATAGTTGAGAAGCAACAACTCCATTATAATAAGCTCAACATCTTTACTCAACCCAATGAACCTGTATCTGATAGCTAGAATCGCTTTGTCAAGTTTCCCAAGTAGCAAGTCAAAGTCACCCAATTGATACAAATGACAAGTTTTGGAAACCTCAAAGTGTCTCCATACCCTCGTGACAAGCTTCACTATATGAATATATTGGAAGGCAAAAGCTACAGCAGCAGCATATGCAAAAGAGCCAGCCCTTACTGCTGCAAGAGATTCTTTACAACACCTGAGAAAACACAAAGTTTGCCAAGTTCTCAATTCCAAGGGAGAGACAGCAACAAACAGCCTAATATGCAATCACAGGGGTAAATTTGTGAACACCATACCACCTCCTCAATACTTGATACTAGAAAGTACAAGAAATGTGTACTTGGTTATTAATGAGTGCCTGCTAATGCAAATACAGGAATAACTTACTAGAGGAGCAAGCTTGCTAAATATGCAACACAGGCAAGAGCATGAACAGCAGAAACAAGAAACTGCTTACAACAGCGTACAAAACACCAAAAGTTAAGACAGGCTAATAATGAAAACAAAACCATAGCAGAAACTTCACAAGAGTTCAGACCACAAAATTACAAGGGTGCGATAAAGTCAATACATGAAAGCTATCCAAATCCTAGACAGCAAGTGAACAAGTACAAAACCAATACTGACCATGGCGACCAATACCATTATCCCCATGCCTATAACATAGGCCTAGAAAGTGGATATAGTGGAGTAATGGATATTAAGATATGTGCGCCTTTTTCGTGGCTCATACCACTAGCCAATAAGTTCACATCAAATAACAATTAAATGTTGGTCTACTCGAGAGATTTTATTTTTAATCCAAGAGTAATAAAAGGTTACAAAATGGCACAAAGCAATTGCCCTATTGATCTCCTTTGAACTCAAAAGTTGAGCTCAAAATGGCAAAGATCATCTAAGAAAATGTTTTCTATACAAAAATTATTACTTGTCAGAACCAAACAAAATCAGATTGGATCAGATCAAATATTCAGAGCAGATAACACTTCCATTAGTTCCATTTATTTATTACTATCTTTGTTTCTGAAAGTTCTTAACACTTTTGACTTTGGCATGATTCACAAATATCACTTTAACCATTGTTTAAAACTTAATGTAAGGATATACATATTCATGTGAGGTCATCATAGATCGTCTCAATATGAAGTTTCAGAATATCAATCTTTTATAATTTTTACAAATAAATTATTAGAGATATTAATGATCTAAAATTTACATTGACAAGCATGAAAGAATAATGTGTCAAGAATTTTCATAAACGGGGGTAGTATAAGATATATTTTATTGCATATTAATAAAAAAAAATATGAAGATATAGGAGATGAACCGAACAAGATCCCAAATTTATAATTTTTTTCTTACACATTGTTGTAATAATATGCTCAAAGACTTTAGTCCCACCAGGACATCACCAGACCAGACCTTAACAAAATCATATCTAAACACCCTATTTCAGGTGATGAGAGCATATACTAAGTTGATGAAAGGATCATGCATATAATTTATTCCCTTTTCCAATCCCCCTCCCTCCCCCAGCCTACTATTTCACATTAAAAAAAAACCAGCAGAATGTTGGTAATTTTCTTACGTGAGAAATAATTTAGTTAACAGCAATCCAAGGTCAAAAAAAGGCACAAGAGTGATCCCCTTCTATTCACTTCTAAATCACAATTTCAAGCTCAAAATGGAAAAATATACTCCCCACACCAATAGAAAATCTCTTGTATGTTTCAACCAATGATGCCAGTCAACTATTCTCCCTATCCTTTCTCATTTGATCCTGTCCTAGGGTGTACTTAAAATAATTTGTGTCTTGAATAGAAGATCATACAGAGCGAAAAGAAACAAAAAGCACAAAGTTCCATCCTCACACACCTTAAAGACTTCAACACTTCATTTGTACATCCGCATTTCACCAGCGGCCATAACCTCTTCACTGTTGCAAGAACAATTTGCATTGCACTGAAGACATGCACAGGTGCTTCCTGCTGACCTTTTGCAGCTGGAAGTACCTCTGGTCGAGTCCTGGTTTCAGACTGTACCTCAAATTGGTGCTCACCTATTTAACGAAATTAAATTTTTTTAAAAAAATAAAATTTACAAGGCATCACTTAGATTCTAAATTGGCCATTGTTCAAGCAAGAATGACAATTTGATATACCGCAGCAAGACAGGTAGGCCAAAAGGGAATCAATATCCAGAATATCACCAAGCGCATAAGCAATCCGCCCAAAGTATGCAGCTGCATACGAAAATATTCTTGGTGGAATTTGATGAAAGTGCTCTTCGTGTTTGAGGGAAGCTGAAATAGCCAAAACCAACAATCCAGCAATTCTTGAACCATAACAGCCAGATTTTTCATCATTGGAAGGCTTAATCTGAAGGATACAGTACACTCTGTCAGAAAAGTAGTTGTGGTGTAAAATGATAGAAGATAGTGAAGGGGAACGCATCCTATACATAGGCCATGTGAAATGAATGAGAGCCAACAAGAGCACAACCGTAACAAGCAAAAAAAGAAGTATGCGACACATCATCTTTATTGGTGGAAAATATTACTCAAATACCAACTTTCACTTCTGTAAACACGTGGTTATACACTCGTGCATTTATGATCCAGTGATCCACCAACCTACTACATATGTCACAGTCTTACAGATGATAACTTCTGGCCTTTTAATGTTGTATCCTGGACAAGAAGATAGACAAACAAACACAGCACTTCTAAGAGAAAATTTTTCAGCTAATACATCAGGCTTCAACGGAGACAGGATTAGTTTCCTCATCGAAGGCCAAAGTACCAAGATAACATCCAATTACAGAATACTGGACATGCAAGGAATGCATGGGCATAAGATGGCTTTAGACAGGATATAAACAGGACAACAAACCTCAGCATAACTTATACCATCTTACACATAAACTCTACATAATTTCCCCCGCCTTACATGCATCCACCAACCAAAAATCAGATACTTGTTTAAACAGCTTATAAGAGAGAAATAATGAAGTAGCAAATTGTACACAGTAAAAAAGCAGCGACTTCACTTATTCGGGTTTTAATCAGTTCTGCTTAATTAAAATCAGTTTCATTAGTAAAAATAGTCACCTCGGCGAGAATCAGGTGAAGAGAAAGGACCTAAATTTGATCAGTTGTAGCAATATGTACAGAAGATAAGCATAATGATGACTAAAAAATTGCTAACCTTATTATAATGGTCCTTGACAATCCTGACTGCAAATTTGCCATGATTGTGACCCATATTGAACAATGTACGAAAGATTTCGGCTTCACTCTGGAACATTACAGGAAACCCAATAAAATAAAAAAGAATGATGGGAAGATTAAACAATGAAGAATCAAATGAAGCAATACATAGTGTTAACATGAAATGACTTAACAACCTTGGGATAGATGTCCAGACTTCTAAAGAGGCTTTCAACAGTTAATTTAGACACTTTCAGGTCAGGCAATTTAACTGATCCAAGCAAATCAAAGGCTCTGGATCTTATCTGGGAGTTCCTGTCAACAAGGGTACCAAGCACCTGCAATAAGGACAAATGAGAGATTGTTTTAACTCTGCATTCCATAAATAACACAGCATAGCATATTGATCAACACATGCAGATTATATAACCAAGTACAAGCAACAGGATATGCTTCCCAACCGAACAGAACATACATGCCAGAAAAGTTACATATGCAATAGAACACAAAAGAATGAGATTAGCAACAAGCATAGAGCGCCTATAACAAATAACTCTAGAACAAGCACAAAGCAAAGCATTCATGCTTGAGACGTTACACACAGTTTAGTCACCCTCCCCCCACCACAATAAAAAATCAAAAAAATAAATAAAAAAAAAAAGAAAAAGATATCGATAGGCCAAGAAGTTATCATTGCACAAAATACGCTACGGGTTTGGAATTAAAAATTGACATTAGGAAGGTACGGTTTGGACATTGATTCTTATTACTATGTTCGGTGCAGTTCAAAATTGAGTTCTGATTCCCAATTATGCTGTTTGGTTGAGCCACGACAGTAAAGGAACGATAATATGTGTTTCCCAAATAAAGTACTAAGTCTATTATAAACGAAAAAGGAAAACTGTCAAAATTCTAAATATAAATAAGTGTTTTTTTTTGGCCTTCCAGATCAAGTGCAGACAAATAACTGGGTCAGAGCACGAAATTTACGAATGGTGATTAAGAATGTAAACCAAGCCCAAGATCCAAGCCTACTACTTCCGGACCTTTGGTTATGGACTATGTTTTTGTCAATTTGACAGAACTAAGCCCAAGATCCAAGCCTACTACTTCCGGACCTTCGGTTATGTGCTATGTTTTTGTCAATTTGGCAGAACTATAAAGTTTTTTAGTGGTTACTTATCCAGTTATCCATAAAGAGAAGCTTTTTGCGTCAGAACTACCTTACCACTACTACAAAAGTCTTTCTAGAATCGAAGACTGGTAGCTAAAAAACTAGTTAGCACAGCTAGTTGATGAATAACAGCTGCTCACTGAAAGCTAAGAAAGTTAGCCAGATTAAATTTGTCCAACAAAACAAGTTGTTTGCTGGCACTAAGAATTCATTTATCGTTTAATTCCGTTGAGAATAGGACCTTCGTTAGATGTAACTCCATGTCCATGCTTTGGTAAGGAAATGGTACATGATTTCCATATGATGGTTTAAAAATTGAATAATTGATATCATAACAATTAAACTTTGAGAAACTTGTAGGGCAACATTGCATTAGCTAGCTGCCTAGCTTTACTAACAAACTAGAATTCTGTGGAACTCCCTATAATATTTAGAGAGAAGGGCATTCACTATAAATTGCAAGACAGCATAAATTGTTTTTCAAGCTTGTTAATCCATGACCTCCACAATCAACTTTTGTAAACAACGTAATGTTACATTGTAGAAAATGTGAATCTAATAAAAAGCCCATGCACCAGAGAGCAAGTTTTTGCGCCTTTTCATTGATAGGCTCAGCCGCATACAAAAGGCGCTCTCAGGCACGCCTTAGCCCAGGCGTAAGGTGCAGCACCAGTAGGTAAGACACTGGTTTGCGACTAGTTTGCGCCACGTCTGCAAACTAGTGTCTTACCTACAGGTGCTGCGCCTTAAGCCTGGACTAAGGCGCGCTTATTACATAAAAGGAGAGTAATATAATTTTAAACAAAAGAAAGTTATGTCAGAGCAATGTACTTGATATTAAAAAAAAATCTAAAATGTTATTAAAAGCATACCATATCTATATGTGCCTCTTTCATCGCTACACATCCAGACATTGCCATGCAATGGATTGTCTTCAAAGCCTCTAACCTGGCAATAACCGAGTCATCATTCAGAACATAGCTCAATATACTAACAGCATCAGGAGCAAATCGACCAGAGATGACACAAAGCATTCGCAAGGAGATACAGGCAGCCCGTTGTACCTTCAGGATAGCCATACATATTACACAGGGTCAGCTAGTGGCATGATGGGAATCATCTTTAACATCAGAATGTGCAGTCCTTCCATCCCAAACAATTGTCTTACAACCAATTCTAAAGCTTTAGTTAAAATTGTTTGGGCAGTTAAAAATGGCCAAGTAATTTTGGGTGTAAAATAAATATGAAGTACAGTGAACAAAAACAAAAGGAAGCCATCAAAAATTGGCATTACTAAACCTAAATATATTCCCACTATTCCATTTCCATCACTGTTGTCTAAGACTGCACAATTTTTAAAAAAGCTGGTTTATTGAAATTGAAATCAAGACTGGCAATTTATAATGCATTGGTATATTAAATAAACATATAATTGTTCAGTTGATATTATGGAAACGCGTAATATGGAATGAAAAAAGTTACTCCTACCAAATCACAATATCTTCAACATAGAGAGAAGTCATGCTTTTTTATACAGCTCGGTAATGAATAGAGAGAGAGAGAGAGAGAGAGAGAGACCGATGAGGTATTTTTCCACATGTTGAGGAGAGATAGAAAGAGGAAACCACTTGCTAGAAAAGGAATGCCAACCTTCTTTTACCAAATCCAAAATGGGAAGCATTAAAGTTATTGTTAAAGGAGGTAGTAGCTAAGTGGTCAAATAGCATGAAATAAAGAGACTCGCTAGCTTTTCATGGACATTAATGCCTTTGTAACAATTGGTGAATAGAAAATCATTTGGCTAGTCTATGCTCCAAAGTTTGTAAATGCATTAGTTTGCGATTAACTTTAAAAAAAAATTAAAAAAAAAAAAGAAAACGTGAATACTAATTACTGAATTATAACACAACCAAAATTTTGCAATTACCTCACTGTATTCATCCTCTAGACCATGAATAAATGCACCGGCAGCAACACCAGCATGAATTTCATGTGAATTTGAGCTAGACAGAGCCAAGGATTGTTTCACTTTAATTGCTTCGTCAACCTTTTTGTTAAGGGTCTGCAACAAAATATCTTCAGATACATAAGTAATTTTTCCAAGGGTGGTAAAAGCCTCCACCCTGACTCCCACATTCATATCTCTGACCATAGAACATATCTGTGAAGCCAAACCAAGCACAACTTTGTTAGCAGATCTATGAAGCGAATACGGGATGGCACCCACTAAAGACATAATGAGGAGATGAATAGCATAATCACCACAAATACAAGGGAAAAAAAAAAAAAAGCATCCCTCTACTCACACATCACCAACTAAAATAGATAAGGGCTGACTACATCACAGTGAGTCACAACATTAGGCCAATGAGGCCATCGAGGTGCCGTTGAAATAGATTTGCATATGATAGCAACATGGTGATTCATGTATTGCAATGTAAAACACATTCAAAGTAAAACAAAAGGCAAATTAGTTGAGAGATAGAACGATACAGATCAGTTGAAACTTGAAATGCCTCGGTGATTAAACGTCCAATCATTAAAGCTTATCAATATCGTTAATCTGGTTTGTTTTAGTCCAGAGTTAAGGAGTTACAAATAGAAATGCTGTAAGGCACCATGTATATTAAGAACTCGGGGTAGTAGTTCAACTTCCAGGAGCAAATTACAGCCCCTCACTGTTTTTTCATCTCATAGAGGCATCTCAACAAAAAAATAGGAAGTCAGGCTTCTATATTCCCAAAGTTCCAGCTTTACCAACCTAAAACATGTAGAGCATGTTTGGTAAGGGAATTTTTTGGTTGGAAACTGGTTCAATAAACCATTACCGTTACCAAGTGTTTGGTAATAAGGTTCGGTTAACAATTATCATTACCTAGGGACAATGGTTTCCACCTAGTTGTTACCTCTCTAAAACCTAAGGTATTAATTACCATTACCCTCCTCAAACACAAAATTTCGGCTTTTGTCTTTCTCACTCCAACAATTTCATTTTCTCTCTCCTCATCTCTCTACCTCATCAAGTGTTATCTTGTAAGTGATTCCTTTCACAAGAAGAAAGGAAGGTTAAGTTTAAGTGATTCATTTGCATGATAAAACCAAACAAATGAAAAGGTAAGAGTTTGATAGTTTCTTTCCCCCTCTTAATTAATTCCTTTCCATTCTGTTTCCAATGTTCGTATCAAATGCCCCCGTAGCAGATACGGCACAAACTCAAACCAGAAGCAACAATTTTATTTTATTTTTTTTACCACTTTTCTGGTGAACAAATACTTTAATATGGAGATCTAAAGAAAAAGCACAGCTATGAGACCAGTTTAAAACATCATGACCAGATCTATAATTTGCAGCTATATTCTACTCTTAATAAGGTTTAGTAGGGTTTAAGAACCTGTAGATCATTTATTTCAGAATTATTTGGAATTTTTGATAAAAAGATGTAGATGAAAGGATAGAAAAATATGCGTGCTTACAATCACAAGTGCGAACAAATAGGTATTTCATGTGCCATTCTAGAGATACACTCTCGTAAAAAAAATATTTTTAAAATATAAAGCACATGTCCTATTTAGTCCAAAGTAAATTCTATGCAACAAACTTACAAATGCAGAGGCTGGTAAATGGTTTTTCTTAGCAATATAAACTCCTTCAACGAAAGATTCAGAAAGATAGCCAATCAAGCATTACAGATGAATAATGAAAAGGCTTTTATAATAAAGTAATTTCCGAATGTCACAACATTGCTGCTGCACCAATTTATGCTCCAGCGCTAGCAGCAACAGAACACCCAAGTAAACATCACAAAGGCTACCAAATTTCATATACTTGTATATAAAATACAGCAAACATACATATTGAATTACTTAGGTCATGTACCAGCAAAAACACACCATCCGAACAGCCTCTCCTATCTTCTTCCTCTTCCTTAGATGCAGCTAGCATGCAACCCCATGCGCTCACCTGAAACAGAAAAATAAATAAATAAATAAATATATTATACATGGGATTCAATCACTCCTTGTATTGTCAGTTGTCAATATACCCCCGCCCTTCTTAGTTGTAGCAACCAGTGCCCAAATTGCTGAAAATGCTAAACATCTACCAGACACGAAAAGTCGAAAACCAACCTGAATTATGGTCTCTTTCTTTCAACTCTCCATAACTTACTTAATGGCTCCAAATTTACCACATTTTAAGCAATATATGAATTTTGTACTATACTAAGATTACTAACTATTAAAGATAAATTGCGAGTCTTGCACCTAATTATGAAAGTGTATTTTAGAGACGAACCTAACATGATCCCACATTACTATAATTCTAACATATAAATCACAAAAGACGATCAAATGAGTGTGTGAATAATGTACAATTCCAAACGCTGCAATAAAAAAAAATGAGGAAGTAATAACTCACTGCACGAAGAGCAGCCAAGCGAACATAATCATGTTGATCAAGAAGAAGCTCAACGGCACGAAAATAACACCCTTCAACAATCCCATAATCCTCAACCACAACCCCAGAATCACAAACACCCACCAAACCCTCCAACGCAGATTTACGAACACAAGGGTAAGGATCCTTAGTAAACCCTAGCATAACCGGCAGCAACAAATTAGGAGGAACCGATAACTTCATCACATTATTCAAAAACCCAAACCCGAACCGAAACACACGGGCGGAAACACAGAGAAATGACAAGGCTGTCATCGAGGGAGTAGGCGGCGGAGAGTGAGACGAGAAGAGAGAGTGAAGCGGCGGCGGTGATGGCGGAGGAAGTGGGGTCGGAGAGGAGAGAGGTGGTGATGGAGGGGAGGGAGGAGGAGAGGGGAGAGGAGAAGGAAGGGTGGTGGAGAGAGAGGGAGTGGAGGAGAGAGAAAATGTGGTGGTTGGGAGGGAGGGAGGGGGAGTTGATGAGGGTTTCGAGGATGGTTGTGATGGTGGATGGTGAGGTTGATGGGTTGGTGATGAGGGTTTGGAGTCGTGAGAGGAGTTGCAGAGAGAGGGTGTTGGTGGTGGTGGTGAGGTTTTTCTGGGTTTCCCGCCATAGTTGTTGCTCCATTTTTGCTCAGTGGAAGTTCAGCTTGGGGGTTTGCTGTGGTGTTGGTAGTGTTGAGGATGGTGCTTGTTTATGGTGTTAAGCGGAATCCACCATAGTTGTTTAATGAGGAAGGAAGAAGAAGGAAAGGTGGAAGGAGACAATAAACGCGGGGCGTTAATTAATCGTATATTGTTAAACATCGCCTATAATTTTCTAGCCCACAAATTAGACTTGGTTTGACAATTTTGTCCATTTCTAAAATTGTAGTCAAAGTGAACAAATTTCGATCTCAAAAATGTGGAGCCATACTGGGTCGCCGGGGGAGAGCGGAGGGCAGGCCGGAGATGCGGGGGACGCCGGAGGTACGTCGTCGTCGACGGAAAGCGAGGTAAAGAACCGTTAAAAATGACGTTGTACGTAACGGCGTCTGAAAGAGGTGGCTGTGCAGTGGAGCCGCCGCCTAAATTGGACGCCACTACCGTAGCATGGACGTCCAAGCCAAACGCCACAACGACGGCACTGGCGTCCAGCCCAAACGCCACAACCACCACACAGGCGTCCTGGGCAGGCGCCAGTCCTATGGTTGTGGCGGCCCTGCCAGGCGCCATCTCCATGGCTCTGGCGTTCCTGCCAGACGCCGCACCTGCAATGTAATTTTTTTTTATTTTTTTATTTATTTTTTTTGTGGTTATTTTTTTTTTTGTAAATTTGAAAATTCGAAATTGTATAAAAAAAAATTCGAAATGGTTTTTTTTTTAAAATAAGTTTGAAAATTCGAAATGGTTTTTTTTTTAAATTCGAAAATTCGAAATTGTACTAAAATAAAATTCGAAATGGTTTTAAATTTGAAAATTCGAAATTATTTTAAATTTGAAAAATTCTAAATGGTTTTAAATTTGAAAATTCGAAATTATTTTAAATTTGAAAATTCTAAATGGTTTTAAATTTGAAAATTCGAAATGGTTTTAAATTTGAAAATTCGAAATGGATTTAATTTTGAAAATTCGAAATGGTTTTAAATTTGAAATGGCGAAATTGTATAAAAAAAATTCGAAATGGTTTGAAAATTTGAAAATTCGAAATGGTTTAAATTAAGTTTTTTTTTTTGAAATTAAATTTGAAAATTCGAAATGGTTTTTTTTATTTTTTTTATTTTTTTTTTTAAATTTGAAAATTCAAAATGGTTTTTTTTTAAATTAAGTTTAATAATTTTATGTTTTTATTTATGATGTGGAAATTAGATTTGTGTTAATATATATTATTATGTTTTAATTGTTTATGTGTATGAATACTTTTATAAATGATTGTGTTTTTAAATTTGTATGTGTATGAATAATAGTATACATAATTATGTTTTTAATTTTGTGTTAATTATGTGTAGATATAGAAAGTAAATGTATTATCCGTTAAATGTAGAAATGAAATTTACAAATTAAAAATGTAGATATTAATTATGTGTTAATGTTGTGTTAAATGTATTAAGTTAAGCTTGAATTAATATTTATTATAATATATAATTGATGCAGGATTATGGTGGAGACGGAAATGATTACAGTGGGATATTTGGACATGATGGTCCATTCGAAGATGCTCAACAAGCGATTAATTGGGCAAAACAGGTTGCAATTACAGCTGGATTTTGCTTGGTAGTAGTAACTCATAAATCTCAACGGGATGGTAGAATGGATCGCACTTTGAGATGTGACCGTTATCGCAAAAGAAAAGAACGAGATTTCAGTACAGCCACTCGGTTTGATACAAAACGGAAAGGTTGTGGGTGTGAGTTCAGAGTAAAGGTTCGACAACTACGGAGTCGTGACGATTGGGAAGTGATTGGTTACTCTAAATGGGGGTATCACAACCATGAGATGATAGTATATGAAGAGGGTCATCGACAACTGAGCGGCTTAAGTCCTGCTGCGAAACTAGTTGTCAAAGAAATGAGTGATGCTCAAGTGAAGCCTGCTAAAATATTAGCATCTGTGTTAGAGAAATTTCCAGAAGACCATCCAAACTGAAGACACATCTACAACGTTAGACAGCAACTCAAGTTTGAACGGTCAGAGGGAAGGAACCCTATACAGCAGCTGCTACACCAGGCACAATCACGTGGTTACCTGTTTTGGTTTGATTCTGATGAAGATACAGCGGAGGTGACTCATCTTTTCCTTGTGCATCCTGATTGTGCTGATATGATCAAGTCTTGGCCATTTGTGATTTTGATCGACTCAACGTACAAGACAAACAAGTACAAGTTCCCACTGGTTGAGATCATGGGGATGACTCCAACGAACCAGAACTTTCTGATTGGTCATGCAATCATCAAGGATGAGACGGCTCCAAGTTATTATTGGGTCTTGGAGAAGCTGAGAAACTACATCGGGCCTAATGTTCATCCAGCAGCCATCGTCAGTGACTGTGAGGGAGGTCTCTTTGCCCCCATTAGGGAGTTGTTTCCAGAGTCAAAGCACTTGTTGTGCACATGGCACATCAACAACTGTGTGAAAGTGAAAGCCTACAACCTTTTCAACAAGAATTTGGAAATGGCAAAGAGATTGGTGAATGGTAAGTGGCGGAAGATCCTACAAGCTACCACAGAGGCAGTGTACGATCGAGAATTGGCTAACTTCAGGGATTCGTACCAATGGTGTCCAACAGTGGTGAACTATGTGATGCAGCAGTGGATACCTCACAGGGAAAAGTTTGTCAAATATTGGACAAACCAAGTACTTCATTTCGGGAACACTACAACATGTAGAGTTGAGAGCGCTCATAGAGCTACCAAGGATTGGATTGATTCTTCCACTGCTGCTTTGGATACACTGTTCGATAGAATAAACAATTCAATTGAAACTCAGAAGAACGGCATCAGGAACTCTCTAGAGGACTCCATACGGCGACATGGTACGATGTATAGGCATTTCATATTTAAGATTCTCCATGGTTGTGTGTCACACTACTGCTTGGGGTTGATTTTGAATGAGTACAACAGGATGAGGGAGTTGGCTGATGAAGTGTATGTTCGGTGCGGGTGTGCTATTTCAGTAACTCATGGATTACCTTGCGCATGCACCATTCACCGCGTTATTACAGAAGAAAGGGCGTCGTTACATGTTGATTAGGTTCATCCATTCTGGCGGACGCTCGTTATTGGTGAGCATGCAGATCCTCAAACGGTCGACCATGAACAGGAGGAGTTGGAGCAGTTTCGTTCGATGTATGACCGAGTGTCCTCCAGTCATCCTTCTATTATTCGTGACGCTACTCACGTACTTCATGACATGTTCAACACGTATTGCTTAGATATACTGAGGAACCGGAAGGGGTTGAGCGTCCTCGAGGTCGCCAACGGCGGAACAGGAGTGCGTTTGAGTACATTTGTGGTCTTGGTCGTGGTCATGGTCGTAGTCGGACATCGTCATCTACTCGTAGTCATTCTTCTTCGTCTGTGAATATGCCCCCGAGAACTGGTACGGTTGCTTACTTTTATTGACATTGTACATTGTTTTTTAGATTACTTCTGCCTTGTTAACTGTGTTTAATTATATGTTTAATAGGAAGAAATGATATTGATCAGTTTCCGTACAAGGACAGGATACCTAACATCATCATACCGTTCTTGGATGGGTGGAATGATGTAGTCGGAGATGGTAACTGCGGATTCCGGGTCGTGGCTGACGTGTTTCAAATGGGCGAAGCCAACTACGGTTTAGTGCGTCAGTTGATGTACAGTGAAATTGCCTCTAACCGAGAAGTTTATCGTCATGTGTACCATGACGGCTTGGATAGTGCTCTGCGGCGTATCCGGTGGGGGGAGGACCTTGTGGTCAAAATCATTATTTTGACGCACAACTGGATCTGTTTGCCGTTGCAAACATTTACAAGTGTACATTCATGCATTTCGGGCTTGGATTGCATAGTCGAGCTTATTATCCTTGTACCACGGTTCTCCCTTGGTCTTCGCGTGAGACTGTCACTACACCGGTCAGAGAGGTAGCTATTGCTTTTCTTGGGTCGTCATACAGACATTTCATCCGACTAGACCTGTCATCCTATTTTCCTGTGCCACCGATTATACCTCGGTGGTACACCATTCGCACAGCGAGCGTAGAAGGTTGGGATGCGCTATATCATGACCGGATCACGAATGGAACACCCTAGCCGCCTTTTAGTTTTTCATGTGTACATTGTTTCTATGTAACCTTATTTTTACGTTGCTATTATAATGAGAACATTAATTTTTTATATTGTATTGCTTACTACATTTATATCTTGCATGGGTAAGTTGCGCGTTACAAAGTTGAAAGGTAATGTCAAAATTTAAAAACAGCAACGACAATGTTGTCAAATGTTGAAAGCTGAAACGATAATCTAAAATGTTACAAACTTAAACCATAATGTTAAATTCTGCGAAGTGCAAACATAATGTCCAATTTCAAAAACTAAAATGATAATGTTTAAAATGCTCTACAAATAAAATGCCAAAACCATCAGTAATCCCTCTTGGACGCCGACTCCCAATGCGCAAGGGTCTGTTCCAAACTATCAACAACAGCTCTCACTGGTGCACTCATGCTGTCCTTCTTTACAGAGAGTTTTTTGTACGTCTTGCATTATCTTTCCCATCCACTACATACAACAAAAAATAAAACATGAAATACAATAACAACATATAAAACTTAATTAAAAAAACAACGATAAATGTTTTATGAGACATACCGCTTCCACGGCAGTAGGCGGTGGCATATAATCAGCATCGCTGTGTTCGAGGTCTGCAATCAACCTCGGGTGCGAATACCGATTGAACCATTCCAAGTAGTAGTGGTCACGCATGGGAGGAACCCCAGATGGCGGCCTCTGCAACTCCGCAGTCCATAAGCGGGCAACCATCGAAAACTAGTCCCACTTCCCAGTCATGATATCCTGCCAATACACGACGTAGTCCTTTGACGATGCAGATCGGACCGCCTTCATCGGGCATGCCGGGGGAGGAGGGACAACTTGGACAAATCTAAGCTGGCGAAGACAACGCTGGGGCATGTACGCCTCCACGATCTCACGATACTGAATGAGTCCCGTGT